ATTGTTGGTTACCGGGGTGTAGGGAGTGGGGTGAAGGAAGGGAGGGGAAGGTGGAGCACAGGGTAGAGAATAGACACAGGATAGTTTAGGTCCTGGGGGAGGGGAGCAATATAAAAGAGGGAGGGGAATGGAAGAACAAGGCGGATAGGAGTACAGTGAGGCAGGTTTGCATGGGCTAAGTGGGACAGAGGTAAATAATGATGTATGCTCAACCTTGGAACAACAGGGCTCTAGGATACAGGGATTGATGCGTGGTTTGAATGGGTAAAAGGGAGAATAATGTTAAGATGCTTGGCTGTCTTTTGAATCTTGGTTTCCCTTGCCTACTATTGTAAAATAGACACTTGGGGGAGAGAGAAAGGAAAAGCCAGAAACATCACCATAGAAAGCTTGTAAGTCCATCTGCCTATTGTTGTTATGTGCCATGGAGTCAGTTCCGATTCATAGTGACCCTGTACAGGGTTTCTGAGGCTGTAAATCTTTACAGGAGAAGAAAGCCTCATCTTTCTCCTGTGGAACAGATGGTAGTTTCGAACTGCTGACCCTGAGGTTAGCAGCCTGATTCGTAACCACTATGCTACCAGAGAACTGATTAGAATACCTAAAAAGGGGTTAGAACTTGCTCAGTGAAGGAGGCTTCCTGCGGAGCCTTAGCAGAAGACCATTAAGACCATAGGTGGAATCCGGATCCCCATCCAGAATCTTCTAAGGTGGGAAATTTCCACTTGAAAGGACAAGCAGACCAGCCTGGACAGGCTAAAATAGAAGATACTTCTTGAAAGAAAGACCAGCAGGAAAAAATAAAAAATAATAGCGGCAGTCTGATTGACTACTACAAAAGTAAGCAATTTTTTCACCCAGGAGCCATCAAGGCAAGTGTTCAGGTCCCCTCAGGGCAAACCCCCTTCCAAGACTGAGACGAAAGGGGAATACATGAGCAGGCATATTGCCCTTCTGATAACCATGTTGGTCTACCGATAAGGGGAAAACCAGCAATGAAGTTGTGAGCTGAGTGCAACCACATTCAATTAACTCCTGTTAACCTGGATTGAGACATGGTTGGCCAGCAGTATAGCAAGACCTGGGGACTCCTGAGCTGAGGGACAAGGACATAGCCACAGAGGACTAGAGCGGAGAGTGAAGAGTCCAGCTGATATGAAGTGAGGAGAGATAGTACCCATTTAACCTGGCTTCAATGGCTGGATGATCAGAACTTGACTAGATGAAGAAAGACGAGGAAAAAGAATAATCTGCTACAACTTGATGAACTTGACCTATACTTATGGATGTAGTAGCTCAAAAGAGGGAACAATCTTTACAGCGAGGATAATTCCCGCCCCCTCGGTACACAGGGTTGACAAGGATGGGCAATTTAGACATTGGCTATCCAAAATGGTGTTGTGGGGGGCTACACAGGAAGAAGTGACTAGCTTACAAGTTTTCAAGAGGGTGTGGGGAAACCACTCCACTAGTACACCTTCACATCAAAATAAAAAAGGAAAACCAGATTTAGATGACATGAACACACAGGTGTCAGGTGTGGTGCTGTAGGGTTAAGTACCAGACCACAAGGTCAGTCAGAACCTGTGACATGATATATACGCACCATGTACATTACAGTACTGTTTGTTCCCAATAGCAAAGCTATCATCTGTCCATCAACAGAATAGTTACACAAACTTTGGTACGTACATACAATGGAATGTCATACAATGAAAAGTGATTGAAGAGTAACAAATAATCTGTAAAACATATCACGGCATGGATGAACCTGGAGGACATTATGCTGAATGAAATTAGTCAATCACAAAAAGCCTTTTTAAAAGTTAAGAAAAAATTTTCTTGCTAAATGTAATCTTCTGTGATGGTTACGGGGTGAGTAGGAGGATGGGAAGGAAAGAAAAAATAAAGTGACTAGA